TAATATGTAACATGGCCTTGCAGAAGAACAAACAAATTCATGTTGTAAGAAATATAACTAGACAACAGAAAAGTGGGTGAAGGGAGATGTCGGACAGTGTAAGATATGAGAAATTAACAATAATTTATAAATGATCAAGGGTTCATGAGGGAGGGGGAGCTGGGAGGGAGGAGGAAATGAGGAGCTGATACCAAGGGCTCAAGTAGAAAGCTAATGTTTTGAGAACGATGATGGCAACAAATGCACAAATGTACTTGACGCAATGGATATATGTATGGATTGTGATAAGCATTGCACAAGCCCCCAATAAAATGATTTTTCAAAAAGCAATAAAAAAAAGAAATACAACTAGAATACTTCTTGGAAGTAAGGAAAGTGAGGCATCATTTCACATATTTTCAACATGTTATCAGAAGAGACCAGTCACTGGAAAAGGACATCATGCTTGGTAAAGTAGCGGGTCAGTAAAGCAGAGGAAGAGCCTCACAGAGACGGAAGGACACAGTGGAGGAAACGATGGGCTCAAACAGAGTAACGATTATGAGGCTAACGCAGGACCAGGCAGCGTGTTGTTCTGTTGGACACAGAGTCAATGATTCAGAACCAATCTGAGAGTATTTAATGACAACATAGGATCGATTTTCTGTTAGAAGAATACTTTTAGGGAAATACTGAAAGTTTGAAAAATATTAAGGCTGTCCACATGATGTGGGAAAGAAATAATTTTCTGGCAAAAAAAAATGTATAGCATCTGTCTTGACTGTTAATCCCAGAGATACTCAATATGTGCCCTGAAGCACTCCGGAGTATCTTTGAGACCCTTTCAGACGATCTGCTAGGTCAAAACTATTTTCATAATAACACAGATACCGTGTTTCATCTTTTTCCTCTCTTTGTTTTATACGTGTGAATGGGAGTTTCCAGAAACTGCATGATAACTAATATTGCGTTCAGTTGAATGCAGAAGCAGGCAGGCAGGAAAATTAAGGCCTTTTATTAATCCAAACTTTGAAGAGAGTTATAACAGGTTCTCTTCTTTTTATAAAAAAAAATAGTGACTTTTATTTTAAAGTGACATTCATGTTAACAGGCTTATCATTGCAATTTTTAATGAGGAAGTAAATAATTTATATGATCTTTCTTTTAATTTCTAATGATGGCAAATGTCAATAGATATATTCGATATAAACAAAAGATCTTTATTCCTCTCAATAATTTTAAGAGTATAAATGATCCTGAGACAAAATAGCTTTACACTTTGTGCCAATGACCTCATTTAAACCCTCAACTTGAAGCATGAAATAAAAATCAATGATATAAAAGTCAGTGTATCTAGTCCAGATCTATTTCCTGACTTTCATGGCTATCGACACAATTTCCAGTCCTGAAAAAGGAAATATATGTAAAATGATACAAATAATTATAACCTTACCCACCAATTCTTTCTATTCCTGAAGTTTTCCTTCGCTGTGAAAGGTAACCCCTGTCCCAGTGCTTTCTTCCCTCACTTCTCATATCTAATCAGTTGTCAGGATCTGTTAGTGCCTTCTTTTTCATATCCCTAAACCCATAGCCACTCCAGAAAAGGACGCAGGGCACCATCAGCTCCTGTCTTAACAAGAACATTATCCTCATAACTTCTGTTGCCCGGGCCTTTCTATTTCCAATCCATTCTCTGTGTTTCTTTACAATGATCTTTGAAATAATCATACCTGAGCACTTCACTCTTCAGTTTATAAACATTTATAGGCTTCCCATAGCTTTCAGGGTAGACCCTCAGCAAAGCACAGAGGTAGGTGTACAACCTGTTCCCTGATAACTCTCCAGTCTCTTTTTCCAGTCCTCTTCTATCCATGCAAGGTGGTTAACTTTCAGTATTTTCTATTGCCTCCCTCACCTTTTCAATGATAACTTCCAACATACATAGATTGTCAGGCTGCGCTCTAGCATCTACTTACTAACAGAGTGACTTTCAGGATCCTAATTATAAGGATTGTTTCACAAATTGTGTTCATACTATATTTTACCGTGGCTATTTATATAAGGTTGCTTCTTATTTTCCCCTGAAAATTGTCATATTTATTTATTTGGGTAGAAAACAAACTATAGTCAAAGCCTGACATTTTTACATATTTTACAGATATGAAGAATAAAGTTTAAGGCATAGAAATATCTTAGATGTGCTCTTAAATAGGTATTACTGCAGAGCGATTGATACTGATTAATAAACTGAATCCATTAGCTGCTCCACTGGAGAAAGAAGAGGCTTTCTACTCCCATAAGCAGTTACAGTTTGGGAAATTCATAGGGGCAGTTGTAGCACGTCCTATAAGGTCGCTATGAGTTGACATTGACTTGATGTCAATGAGTTCTGAGTGTACAAACTTTTGAATAAAGTACACTACTAACTAAAATTTACTCTGGCTGTGAAATGACCATGTTCTAATCTTGGTTCTACCTATTAAGGTCTTTGCAACTTTGGGCAAACTATCTAACTTCTCTGAGACTCTGTCTCCATCTTAAATTGAGATGATATCGCTTTTTAACAGGGCTATTCTCATTAAAAGGAGCCATCATGTTCATGTTGGGTGAGCATTGAATGGCTAACCCCAAGGTCAGCAATTCAAGCCCACTAGCCACTACAAGGGAGAAAGCTGATTCTATTTGCTTCAGTCAAGATATACAGCCTCAAAAGTCCTAGATAGGATCATTATGGGTTGAAACTCACTCAGTGGCACTGGGTTTTGTGCTCTCAGTGTAGTTATTATTATCATCATCACCCTTAACCAAGGCATGCCTTGCCAGAGGCATGGGGATGTGCAAAAATTCTATAACCAGACTACATGGATTTGAATATAGGTGCTCTTCTTAGGCACTGTGGAGTCAATTTTCCACTCATAGAGACTGCCATGCAAGAGAGTAGATCTCTTTAAGGAGAAAAATACTAGGTTCTTCTCCTATGGAGTTAATAGGTGAGTTTAAACTGCCAACTTACCCAAACAGCTAAGTGCTTAACACTGCACCACCAGGCCTTGGAAAATCTGGTGCTAGCACTTCGTATTTCTGGGATCATAGGGACATTTTTAACTTATAAGAATCCCAGTGTCTGCTTCTATAAAAGGATAACCATAGTAACAACTACATAGAGAAACATGGGTATTAATTGATTTAAAACATTTAAAAGTCTTATACTAGAGCTTGGCACATGGTTGATATGATACAAATGCTTGCAATGTTTTCCTACTGTCATTTTAATAATAAAACAAAACAATCCTATTGTCATTGAGTTGCTTCATTGGGACCCTAGAGGACGAAGGAGAACTGCCCCACAGGGTTTCCACAGCTGTAAATCTTAAATGAAGCAGACTAGCACATCTTTATCCCATAGAGGAGCTGATGGAATCAATCCACCAACCCTATGGTTAGCAGTCAAGTGTTAACCACTGTGTGTCAATTTAAGGATTAAGAGTGTAGGGATGGAGTCCAGGCTGACAATCTGAAGATAGCCAGTGAGACTCCTTTGTGGGCATGGCCTTCTCCTGAGAATTCTGGGAAATCTGGTACTTCCTCCTTAGAGGTGGAAGGCATGTCTCTCTCTCTCTCTCTCTCTGCCACTCCCTGGGAGACACTGCAGAAGACAAGCCACATGGATGCAACCAGACCTCGGAAGCTGGAGAAGCCACAGAGAGACCCTTGCCAGCGCCGAGGTGCTTACAATGCTACTGGACCCAAAGACTTTCTACCCACTGGCTTGTGATTGTCCTGCATTTGGCTTCATTGCATGTGTTTCATGAGTCTGAAGAGGACTTTACAGATTGATATCGGACATATGGGCTAAATCAGACTTATGGACTAGATCTGGACTGGGCTGGGATGTTTTATCAATGTTAAATTGCTCTTGTACATAAACCTCTTTCTTATACACATATGTATGTCCATGGATTTGTTTCTCTGGTCTACCCAGACTAACATAACCACCTTGCCACCAAGGCTCCTGTTTTGACAGTGGGTTTCCAAATCAATCATATTATCGTGCCTAGGTTTTGTTTCAAAATTCTTTCCCTTAAGTGGCAAAGGCTATATGATTTTTCATTCATAAATTTTCATACCAGAAATTGGTCTCAATCACTTTCTTCTCCCCTTGCCTTTTTTAAAGTAAAGCCAAACAACAACAAACCCACCTTCAGTACACAGTCATTCCTGCTAAACAACATAATAGCTTACCATGTAATATAAGGACGCACTAATACTTTGCACATAGTCTCGCAACTGAAAAAAAAAAAAAAAGATGTTCCTCCCAATGTTTTCAGCTTGTAACATCTAAAATACCCCAAGTCCACTACCAGAGAGTTGATCTAATCCATTGTGCCCCATATAAAGAGAGTAGAAATGCTTGATAATGTTTCCAAGACTGTAAATCTTTATAGAAACAGACACCTAATCTTTTTGCTGTGGAGTGCCTTGTAGATTTGATCTATCAACTTTTTGGCTGTCAACCCAGTGCTACCATGGCTCCATCAATATCCATTATGCTTTGAAATTGCAGAGGAACTCTGGTGGTGCTGTGAGCTCTTAACTGAAATGACTTGTTGCTGTACCCTTAGTAGACTAATTCATAGACATGAACTAACATAATGAAATTTAGAACATATCATTCATCTCCCCTTAAGTTTTTATTTCACTTTCACCTACCCTCACCGCACCCTAATATATGATGTCATAAAATTTGGTAAAAGAAAGAAGGGGAAAGACTACTTCAACATTATACTTTCTAACTGGCCTTGGCTATCAAAACTCCTGAGTCCTTAGTATCAGGTGATAAGAAATGGCGATAGGATCAGTCAAAAATCAACACAAATAACTATAGTGTGGATTTTTGACCAGTAATATGGCAATTACTCATTTTACAAACAATTCAAAATTAGGTGCAGGTATTCTGCAGAGTGTATGGTGCGATATGGAATTTATCATATTGTTAGATGGTAGAAATTCTTGCATACCTTTGTTCATATCGATGAGCTGCTTCTTCTTCTTCTGGCGTTCCAACTTTTCTTGTTCAGCCTTTTCTTTGGCAAGTTTGGCCCTCTTGGTCTTTTCTTCCATTTCCCTTCTTTTATTGTTTTCTTTCACTGCCTCCTGCATATATATAAAAAAAGTAAATAAAAATCTGTTCATTACTTAAACAATGAGTTTCATAATTTAGCAATTAATACATAGAGATGGGAAGGCCTCAAGGCAGGTACATATAATTTTGAGAGAAACAGATAAATTATCTTAAAATATTTTTCTGGAAAACAAAAATTAGAAATAACTTAACACTCAACTGCTATTATCTGGGGTCTCAAAAAATTAGGGACACCAATCTTACAGATTTCACATAAATGCACTTTCTCCACTTTTGTAATATGAAATATTCTTTATGCACGAGATTTAATATGAACATGACTCATCAAATATTTGATACTTTTATTATACATCTGTAAAATGGGGGTCCTGAAAACATCTTGTAGGGTTGTTATGGGTGGAAATGAGAAACATATAGGAAGTACATAGGACAGAGTTTGAGGTTTTATGGTCAAAATATTTTAGCTTTAGTCGATGATGATGATGGTGATGGTGCTGGAGGTATTGACTACATTTAAATGATTTGGGGAATGACACACAGGCAATGTTATCATAGAGAAGAAATAACTACACTTCTAATATTGTTTTACATGCCACAAACTCTATAAATCCAGGAGCATATTTCAAGCTCTTGTCTGTTTTATTTTGGAAAGACTTTGTGGAAATCTAGAAAACTAGTACATTCCTGTACACAATGAGAGAAAGCTGGTGTAAAATGATTAACTGGAATAATAATATTGACTTTCTCTGAGTTCAGACAAGCCACTAACGCAGAGCCTTATCAACTGCAAGTCCTTTCCATCAAGTTACTCTTTTATTTATTTTCATTATGATTGATTAGCTATACTTCACAGCATGTACAAACTGCTTCATAAAAAGCTATTTTGTTCCAAAAACTCTTCAGAAAATGATTCAATAACAAGAATATAACAACAAGGCTTTGCCTGGGGGAATTTATATGGAAATAAATATACACGAGGAAGTGTCAAATAGTTCTTGGACAGCCGCCTGAGTGGGTTCTGCGGAACCTGTGAACCCTGCCTTCCCAGCTGTTAGGTGCTGCCCTCGGCGACCATGTCTAAATCTCTGAAAAAGTTGGTGGAGGAGAGCTGGGAGAAGAACTAGCCGGAAGTGGACATGAGTGACCGGGGCATCTCCAACATGCTGGATGTCAACAGCCTGTTCTCTTTATCCCATCTCACTCAACTGGTGCTCAGTCACAACAAGCTAACAACGGTTCCACCAAATGTAGCAGAACTGAAGAACTTGGAAGTGCTCAGCTTCTTTAATAACCAGATTGAGGAGCTGCCCACACAGATCAGCAGCCTCCAGAAACTCAGACACCTAAACCTTGGCATGAACAGGCTGAACACTTTGCCTTGAGGATTTGGCTCTCTACCAGCTCTTGAGGTCCTTGACTTGACTTAAAACAACATGAATGAAATGAGGAAAATTATAAAACACTACTTCAAGAAATCAAGAGTGACCTCAACAAATGGAAGAATATCCCATGCTCGTAGATTGGCAGACTCAATATAGTAAAGATGTCAGTTCTGCCCAAGGTACTATATAAGTTCAATGCTATCCCAATACAGATACAACCATCCTTCTTCAAAGAATTGGAAAAACAGATTACCAACTTCATATGGAGGGGCAAGTCCAGAATTAGCAGAGAACTCCTCAAGAAGAAGGACAAAGTGGGAGGGCTTTCTCTACCTGACTTTAGCAAGTACTATACAGCCACAGTACTCAAAGTGTGGTATTGGCATAATGGCAGATATTCAGACCGATGGAAAAGAGCTAAAGACCCAGAAATAAAAACATCAACATACAGGCAACTGATCTTTGATAAAGTCCCAAAAAATATTAAATGGGAAGCAGATGCCATCTTCAATAAATGGTGCTGGATAAAATGGATATCTACCTGCAGAAAAATGAAGCAAGACCCTTACCTCACTCAATGCACAAGAATAAAGTCAAGGTGGATCACAGACCTTGAGATAAAAACCCCAAACAATTAGGGCCATAAATGAGGGAATTGGGATAAACGTGAGAACCTTGGCACAGGGAATACATAGGGTATCAGAAATAGGAAAGGATACAAACATAGAAGAGTCACAAATAGACAAGTGGGACATACTGAAGATAAGGCACCTGTGTACATAGAAATAATTCACCAAGAGAGTAATAAGAGAGTCCACCAACTGGGAAAACATATTTAGCAATGAAACATCAGACAAAGCCCTTATTACTAAAATCTACAAAACCTTGCAAGCTCACAATAAGGGAAAAGCTAACTGCTCACTGAGGAGGTGGGAAAAGGACCTGAACAGAAGTTTCACAGAGTCTGAAATCCGAATGGCAAGTAAACATATGAGAAAATGTTCCTGATCATTAGCCATCAGAGAAATGCAAATCAAAACAACTATGAGATACCATCTAACACCCTCAAAGATAGCCCAATTCAAAAAATCAGAAAGCAACACGTTTTGGAGGGGCTGTGGCGAGACAGGAACTCTCATCCACTGCTGGTGGACCTGTAGATATGTACAGCCACTATGGAAATCGATTTGGCGAATTCTCAAACAGATGGAAATTGAGTTACCTTACGACACAGCAATCCTCCTACTGGGCATATACCCAGAAGAGGCAAGAAACAAACCAAGACCAGACATCTGTGCTCCAATGTTCATTGCGGCACAGTTCACAATTGCAAGGAGTTGAAAGCAACGCAAATTTCAATCAACAGATGAATGGATTAAAAAACTATGGTACCCTGCACCCTGATTAGCTCATCTCCTCCCCTAAACCCCTCAGCAGGGGGTGTTCTGTTGTCTCCACTCTGCACTCACCCACCTTTACAATGACATGTTTTCTTGTTCCTTGATGCCTGACACCCGATCCCTTCCACAGCTCGTGGTCACACATACTGGTGTGCTTCTTCCATGTGGGCTTTGTTGCTTCTGAGCTAGTTGGCCGCTTGTTTGTCTTCCAGCCTTTAAGACCCCAGATGATACATCTTTTGATAGCCAGGCACCATCAGCTTTCTTCACCACCTTTGCTTATGCACCTCTTTGTTTTCAGTGATTGTATCAGGAAGGTATGCACCCACTGATCTGATTTTTAGTTCTTTGATGCCTGATAACTGGTCCCTTCTGCACCTCGTGGTCAGACAGGCTGGTGTGCTTCTTCCATGTGGGCTTTGATGCTTCTCAGCTGGATGGCCGCTTGTTTATTTTCAAGCCTTTAAGATACCAGACGCTATATCTTTTGATAGACAGGCAATGATGAAACATATAACTTTCCTCTAGTTCTTTAATGCTTCCTCCCCCCTCTGTATCATGATCCCAATTCTGCTCTGCAAATCTGGCTAGACCAGAGGATGTACATTGGTACAGATAGCAACTTGAAACACAGGGAATCCAGGATAGATGACTTCTTCAGGACCAGTGGTGAGAGGGGCGAGGCCTGGAAGGTGAAGGGAATGTGGGGTGGCAGGGAGGAGCCAATTACAAGAATCTAAGTATAGCCTCCTCCCTGGGGAACAGACAGCAGAGAAGGGGGCGGAGGGAGACATCGGACAGTGTAACTTATGACAAAGCTATAATAATTTATGAATTATGAAGGGTTCAGGAGGGAGGGGAAGAGGGAGGGAGGGGGAAAATGAACAAACGATATTGAGGGCTAAAGTAGAGGGCAAATGTTTTGAGATTGATGAGGGCAACAGGTGTACATATGTGCTTGACTCAATGGATGTATGTATGGACTGTGATAAGAATTGTATGAGCACTCAATAAAATAATTTTTTAAAAAACAAAAAACTATGGTACATACATACAATGGAATACTATGCATCACTAAAAAGCAGCGATGAACACATGAAGCATATCTCCATATATATAAAAGGTAAATGCAAAAGAGGCACAGGGAAAAAGCTACGGTAGTATACAAACACTCTAGGGGTATGGTCCAGGTAGTATGGCAGGTGCCAGACCAAATCCAGGGGTACATAGAGTAGCCAACCAACAAAACCCACATGGAAGAACATATCAGCCTGTATGATCACGAGGTACCGAAGGGATCAGTTATCTGGCGTCAAAGAAAAAAAATCATTTTTCATTGTGCGCTCACCTCCATGATACGATCACTGAAGACAAATGGGTGCATAAGCAAATGTGGCGAAGAAAGCTGATTGTGCCGGGCTATCAAAAGGTATAGCATCTGGGGTCTTAAAGGCTTGAAGGTAAACAAGCGGCCATCTAGCTCAGAAGCAACAAAGCCCACATGGAAGAACCACAACAGTCTGTGTGTTCATAAGGTGTCGAAGGGATCAGGTATCAGGCATCATCACAACAAAAAATCTTACCATAGTGAATGATGGGGGAAGTGTGTGGAGACCCAAAACCCATTTGTAGGCCACCGGACATCTCCTTACAGAAGGGTCTCGGGGAGGAGACGAACCAGTCAGGTTGCAATGTAGCAACGATGAAAAATACAACTTTCTCCTAGGTCCTAAATGCTTCCTCTCCGCCCCCACTATCATGATCCAAATTCTACCTTACAAATCTGGCTAGATCAGAGGATGTACACTGGTACAGATAGGAACTGGAAACACAGGGAATCCAGGGTGGATGATCCCTTCAGGACCAGTGGTGTGAACGGCGATACTGGGAGTGTAGAGCGAGAGTGAGTTGGAAAGGGGAAACCAATTACAGAGAACTATATGTGACCTCCTCCCTGGGGGACGGACAACAGAAAGGTGGGTGAAGGGAGACATCGGACAGGACAAGATATGACAAAATAATACTTTATATATTATCAAGGGCTCATGAGGGAGTGGGGAGTGTGGAGGGAGGGGAAAAATGAGGACCTAATGCTGGGGCTTAAGTGGAGAGCAAATGTTTTGAGAATGATGAGGGCAATGAATGTACAAATGTGCTTTACACAATTGATGTATGTATGGATTGTGATAAGGGGCTCATGTATGTATGGATTATGAGCCCCTAATAAAA